ACGAGAGATTCAGCTGGGTTCCGGGTGAGTCTCTCGAACGATCCGAATTAGTTTGCAGATGAGTGTATATTCGGTAATTTGGTGCAATTCGGTTTGAAGTAGAACATAAGGTTGACGGAAACCCGGGGCCTGCGCCTACCTGATGAGCCCCGAGAAGGGCGAAACCGGTGGTGGGCTGTCGATGCATTTTCAGCAACCTTATGAGTAGGACATTACAAAAATACTGCCTAGTTCATTCAGCCAGCACATCACGCCGCCTAACCATGAATTTCGATCAGCTGAGTGTCCGGGTTTGTACTTAGGATGGACCCAATGATTCATTGTTCAGACCTCAGCACATGCAATGTGAATAAGCCCCAGTAAGAGCAAAAAGCTTTGCTAATTGTGGGTGAATAAGAGCTCAAGAAGTCTGACATATCGTGGACAAATGTCTGAAAGAAACTGTTTGATGAAGCATTGTCGGAAAGATAGAATAATAATTTACCTCTGGGGAAATGGCTCGAAAAGTATCGTCACTTTCCCCGTAAATATTGTGTCAGTAATATTTGTCTTAGTTATGGAAGCAGTGGTTTTATGGGCTGTTTCAATAGCTTTAATCCATAGGGTTCCATTCAGACTGAAAACTTTTATGGTCAAGATGAGAAAGGCTCGCGCAATGATCATGACTACTACCGTATCGAATTCGATTTTCAGGGAGTTGTGTCCTAATGCCATTGCGTACGGCAGTCTGCTCCTAGACTCCGCCGACAAAAAAAGTTTATTCGCTCAAGCCCAGTGCATCCGGCTTCTCCTTGCTTTGTTTGAAGTCCTTCTGAAGGACTTTTTCTACTTTATACAAAGACCATTCTAGCTTTTTCCTATGCGCGAGACCCCTCGCAGCAAGGACGGAAGTACGGAATTCAAGCACCAGCTCCTCTAATATTCGTGCGACTTCTATGTATCTTACTCGTGTCTCAAAAAATAATTGTTTTTGACAAAATGTGAATCGGGTTTGCGCGGAAAAACCCTTTGTGAGATTACCCTCAGAAGAAACCATTCCTCAAAAAACACCGCATCTAGTTTGGTGGCTCTATAAAGAAGGACTCAGTACTGAAGTGAGTTCATAACCACTCACGAATCAAACCATTTGGTGTCGTGATTTCCTCTGAGGCTACTTGCCACAGTAGATCCTCATCCTGGATGACCGTGCGATAACTACTCGGCAATTCGGCGAGGATTTCCATTGACGATATTCCTTGAAGGACATCACCATGTTTTTCCGCGAGAAAAGCCTTCTTTGTTGGACCGCAACTTCCATAAAGAAACATTTGTTCTTAAAGAACTATTGAAATAAAAGCAGTAGTATTTCCTTAGAGTGAACAAATTTTCAATCAGACATTCTGCCACAATCTCGTGCAAATTTCCGTCGATGTCGCGGTAATATCATGAGAGATCTTACCACATTCCGAAATTACTACATACCTACTTATAAACTGACTTCTTCAGTTTATGTTAGTGCATCTATTAACTGTTTATTATACTTGTTCATACAAGCGATGGGCCAACAAGGAAGTGGGCTTTCGAAAAACTTTGGTGACAATCGGTAGACTTATTGCTGGGCAACGTTTAACCTTTGACACAAAAGCTTCGTCAGGCCAAGTGACTAGGTTCTGAGGTTGGTTGAGAGTTAAGGCGGAAGGAGAACCAATCAGCTAAGTCCTTCTTGGGTGTCGGCCGAGGGATTTTTGTGTGTTAGGGTGGGTGAACACGTGTTGGGCTGGTGGAGAAACCTACATGTGTTTGGGCCCAGCTTAGGGTCTCGTTCTTCTGGTTCGGTCCATTTGATGATTCCTCTTGCATGTCGTTTGAACTTTCTGTCCGTCTGTACGGATGAGCTAGTGCTAAGACAGTTGCGTACGAGACTACTCAAGAAGTGGCCGGTGATCTGCACTGTTCTACCTTTTCACTGCTGCCGCAAAAGTTTTTTGGCGTTGTGTTGACAACACCTTTGTTGTAATTACGCGATATAGTGTGAACAGCTTCCACAACTATCTCAATAGGTTAGATCCACACATCAAGTTTAGCATGGAGATAGAATACACCTCGGCACCTTACCCTCCCTGGGCTGTACAACACATAAGATTAGTGGGAAATTAAAAACTACAATCTACCAGAAACCAACAGTCACAGGAACCGTCTTAAGCTACTCATCAGCACACCCAGAGTCCGTGAACGTCAGTATTGTCTCAGAGCGCTGTGCACAGGAGAGGTCGACCGAACGGCAGCTCAAATCGAGATTGCCAACGGACCTCAAGAAGTAGGCTACCTAGCGAGTTTGATTGAGCGTCAACTAAGAAAGATATTGGCTCCAGTATCTTTACCAATTAGGGATTGGCACAGCAGTCATTCCATATAAAGCAGGAACATCGGAGGTTATTCGAAGACTAATGAACTTAGCCAACATTCCACTAGTTTTCCAGAATAGGAAAACGCAACACTCAGTTTTGACACCCTTTCCGGTTGAAAGGACTCAGGATTGTGTATGAAATTAACTACAACGATTGTACTATAGTTTACATAGGACAAACTGCCAGGGAATTGCACACCATAATCAGTGGGCATAAAAGAAGGGTAAACAAACCACCAAGGAATGCAAAAGAACACGAAACGCTGGTCAAAGACTCAGCAATGGCGGTACATGCCTTAGACACGAGACATACGATAGATCTGGAGAATGTGGAAGTCTTAATACGGGGACTGCGTTTCACACCACAGCGGATGATAGCCGAGGTGGTGGAAATTAGTAAACATCGCGGCGAAGGTGTGGAACTGGCGAGTGAATAGAAAGCGGTTTTAGATAAGCCGAGTTGACACGTGACTGGTTGTCGATCCACGTAGGATCGTTAGCAAAAACAGGGGGTGGAAATCCCAACCCGACCAAAGTTCACAGCATCCCTCTTACACAACTATCTTAGCGCTAGCTCATCCACACGGACGGACAGAAAGCTCGCTGGTAGTGTGGGGAGATTTGGGATTTTTGTGGAGATTTCATCCTATAAGTGAAGCCAACCTACGCTGGAAAGCTGTACAGTTGTTTCATCCTTATTGGGATGAAACTTCGGAGAGTCTCGAACCCGCGACCTCCTGGCCAGCAGTTTGAACACTTAACCGTTCGGCCACGGGCGGGTGATCTGCAGTGTGATGAACGGGATATAGTGCCGCTTGTCCTTCAATCACGGGATCCACATCACGCGGTCACACGTGTTGACTGGCTCCTAGAGCATTTTAAACGACATGCAAGAGGAATCATCAAATGGACCGAACCAGAAGAACGAGACCCTAAGCTGGGAAAAAAAACACATGTAGGTTTCTCCACCAGCCCAACACGTGTTCACCCACCCTAACACACAAAAATCCCTCGGCCGACACCCAAGAAGGACTTAGCTGATTGGTTCTCCTTCCGCCTTAACTCTCAACCAACCTCAGAACCTAGTCACTTGGCCTGACGAAGCTTTTGTGTCAAAGGTTAAACGTTGCCCAGCAATAAGTCT